GAAGTCAAAGAAATCAGGAGAAAAATCAATTTGGGCTGGCCTTGTTGGCCGCCATGTGGTGGCCCTAGCTTGACCGCTCAAACGGTCTGGGTGAAAAATCAGTTCGAATTTCTGCTGAATATGGAGCTTTTTCCCCTTTCAAAACCCAATCTCATTTACATAAAAAGAGGCTCAAAAACACTTCAAAACCAGAGGAATTGATTACTTCCAACTTCAAACAAGTAAGCAAGGCTCAAGCCTCCAAGAAGACCACAAAATCATGAACCTTAGATGTATACAATTTTCAATGTATGCACACTTGAGTGTTAAAGTGAAAACTCTTACAATTTACTCTTCAAATCCCAAATTTCATGCAGGATGCAAGTGATGATGCCATGTATTATAAGGAAAAGAGTTGACTATTTTCATTTCTTCACTTTAGGGTTCCTATCATCACTTTACATTACCCAACTTCTCAATTCATCTAAATTTCTATGATTCCATTGGCAAACAACTTCAATTCTTGAAATTAGAGGAAAGTTTCTTACCTTAGATGGATGGATTAGTGAAGATTTGGATTAAGCTCTTTTACTCCTCTTCTTCCTCTATCTTCTTTCTACTCTTAAGGCTCTCTCTCAAGTTGTCTCTACACCAACCACTATCTCTCTTTATTTACCTCTTTTGTTGACTTAAGTTAAGTCTTGTTTGGATTTTCCTAATTCTCTTCCCAAGTCTAAGTTAATAATTCAATTCTCATCATAAATCTCTTAATTAACACTAAATTAAACGCACTACTGTGAATCAGGCTCTAATTGCCTATTTCAAATATTTAATTTTAATCTTATGGTTCACTGATTCAGACAGGTTTATTACCCATTTCCATCTATCTTTCTCACTAATTCACTACCATGAACATATATCACAAATAACAAATGGTACATATAACACATGACATACAATTAGGCATAATAAACCATAGGCAAGGCAAATTACATAATTTTACAATTAATTAAGGGAGCGGCTGTTACAGATCATGTTCTTCCTCAAGTAAAGATTCGTATCTAAACACTTTATAGGTTAATTCCACTAAGTCTTGAAACTCAATTGAATCAAACTTCTTTCAAAGCCTAAACTCTAAACCATTTTGAGTCAATCTCACAAATTCAGGCTCTGGTAGAATGACCTTACACTTGTTTCGTGCTCTTTTGAATTTGGCAATAAATTAAGCGGCCTTCTCATCAGGCTTTTAGCTCAACCTTGCCGAATCTGCCATGGAAACTTTTGGCTCTGTTTGGAAGAATTGGGCATGAAATGCTTCCTCTATTTGCAGCAAGTTTGGATAGAGCCAGGTGTTAGGTTAATATACCAGACAAAGGTTGTCGTAGTTAAAGAATTTGAAAAGAGTCTCAACTTCATATAATCATTATTGGTAAATTCACCACATTAGCTAGTAAACCTGGCAATGTGTTCTACTGTTGACTGATTTCCATTTTCATAAAAGAGAGCAAAGTCTGGTATTCTAAACCCCCTTGGATATTCATGCACCCTATCTACCCATTCTGGATATGGCTTTCTATATACAAGAGTCTGACCCCCCCAAGCCATAGGTCCACACATTTCTCTGACAATATTAGCAATTTGGTCCCTACGAACCATATTCTGCGCTTGTTAGACTACTATTGGAGGAACAAACATAGGGTTTGGTGGAATCCCATGTGCTTGATGTCCTCTTAGTCTATAGGGAGGTATATTTGGGACTGGCTGTCCCTGTGGTACTGGCTGCTGTTGAGGGTATGACTGACCTCTCTGAGCTTGTTCTGCAAAAGGACTTGCGAAAGGTGTTGCAATAGGAGGAACAAGTGTTATTTCTCTCCCAGCCGCAGGAAACCCTTCCAATCCCCCAGGTGTGAATTCGAATAGAGAATTAGTGAATCCCTTTGTGCCAGGTATGGCTTTGAACATGGGATTTGGAAACATTCTCATGCCATTTTCTTGTGTTGGCCCAGATCCACCAATTTGTATGGTTTCGCTATTAGTTAATGAGACATATTGATTTACCACAGGCCTCGAAAGAGGCTTATACCATGACTGAGGTATAGGTGATGGTCTTTCATAATTTTGATTACTAGTCTAACCATTAGTATGTCCATTACTTTGCATAGGCTGTTTATCTCTAACCAATTTTTGCTGAGGAACATTTGAATTTTCCTCCATATGCCATATGCCTTATGCTAGTTGGTTGATGGGAATTCATTCGATCCATAAAAGGATGTTGCCCATCTTTCCATTGTATACATTAACTGCTGCCTCATGGCATCTACCAAGCCTCCCCATGGGTTCATTGGCTGGGTAGATGGAACAGTGGATGGTCCAATTCCATGACCTCGTCCAATATTTTGAACATGTGGTGCATGTTCTGAATTGCTGGTCTGTTCGACCATAGGTTCTGATGAGATAGGTGCTTCCATAGGATGTGTTATCACATTATCCTCTAAATCAGGTACTTCTACCTCTCCCTCCACACCTTCTTCCAAGCGTTCATTTTCTCATTGTCTCCCACGTTTAGACATTTCAATTAGTCCTACTGGGCGTGCCAAAAATATATGTTGGCTTATTTTTCCTACGAAAGAAAATATCATAAATACGAGTGTGCCAGCAAGGATTGAAAAATCCTTACAGATTAAATTCAAGCCAGTTATCAAGCTATTGCGTTGACGGTTCTTTTGCCTCAATGACAAGGACTTCAAAATTGCCAAGTGTTAAAGAAAAGAAAAATTAAAAGAAGAATGAGGGAGACGGAGAAAGATGATTGAATGAACAATCAAAGTAACAATTACTTACCTCTACTCTTATGATTTGAAAATGAAGTGCATAAAATGCTTCAAAAAGGAAATACTAAAAATAAATGCTTCAAAAAGAAAGTGCGTAAAATAAAATGTAGGAAATATAAATGACAAGAAAAATATAAATCAATTGTCTTTGATTTGAGTTCTGGCCCATTTCAATTAGTTCCACTGGGCGTGACAAAAATATATGTTGGTTTTTTGGCTTTCGAAGGTTAATAATGTAATTTTAAGCGTGCCAGTAAGGATCAATTAGTCCTCACAGAATATTAATTGCCAACCAATTATCAGACGATTGTGTTTTAGTTCTCTCAGCCTCAATGAATTGGACTTTTACTAGTGGCTTGTTTAGAAGAATTTAGTAAATAACAACAAGTAAAGAACAATTTCAGAATCTGAATTTCATTAAGTAAATGAAAACTTACAATGATCTGACCCAGCCTCGTAGAGATTTATAGCAACAAGCAATTTGAAACTATTCCTAGGAAATGAAATGCAGTACAGGAATTGAAGTAGAACTGTAAAAACTGGAAGGAAAAAATAAAGAAGTAAATAAACTGAATTTTTGATCTAAGTCTGGGTCCTTTTGTCTGGGGCCTTCTCTGCTATTTATATTTTTCAATGATAACCGTTGAAGTGGGCTTCTAACCGTTGAAATGTCCTCCTATGATTGCTGAACATGTTCTCACACAGTCAATCTCATTACGCCACTCTTGCAGTTAGGCTTCCTTCCTAATTTTGAATTTAAACTTTGTGAGTAATCGTTAGGCCACATCACCTTGTATCCCTTGATTGTTCCAGTACTACACAGATCCATTATTACTAATACGGATTGACACGTGCCTGACTTTGGTTGGCAACTTGTATTAACTTCCTAAATTGCCCTCTTCGTGCCACGTGTTGAATTGTGATTGGCTTTTACAAATTATACAACTAATAGTATTATTCCTCGTAAGGTTCATTTGGCTTATAATTAATAACATCAGTTCTTGGGGTATGATGATGTTTGATGCATGCTATGTTTTATGAGGTAGATTGTTGAATGTTGGAATTCATAAATAGCTTCAAGTCCCAAATGCAGAGTATATTGTTAGCAGTTCTACTGGATGGTATAACCATGAATATTGATACAACTGAAACTCAGACGAATATAAGCTTGACAAGTATTTGTCACGTTAGCATTTTTCTTATCCCAACTAAAACGAAACATGATCTATTGCCTCAATCCAATTGTGTGTATGCATTGGATACAGGGATAGTTATTAGTTTGTTCAGTTCTATCTCATTGTCAGCTACAAAGCAAATATATTTTTAGGGTTAATGATAAGAGGCCGATAAATGTAGCATCTAAAAGAAACCTTTTGAGATAGAGGATTTGAGGATAATTTTAAATTTTTGTATGAAATATCCCAAGCTTTAGGGTTATGATCACAAAATTCTATGATGCAAAGTTTGAAAGAAATAAATGAGAACGTATTATCAAGGATAGTTACAATAAACTCATATCTTCGAAGTCCCTCAATGTCAGACTCTCCATTCTCAAGTTGTATTGTTTTTTGTGTTCCTTGTTTTTGCCTTTGCTGGGGAGGTTGTCTTTCATCTCACCTACGTTGGTTCGATGCTTGGTGGTGCATTGGAATTTTGTGATTCTCGGTCTTTTGACTCTTTCTAAGGATTTAGACAACTTTTTAATCTTTTATCTGAAATGTTGATTTATATCCCTGTCACATCTCAAATCGTTCATCAAATTTAAATAAAAATTTAATAAAAATTTTGATTTAATATGATGCATCTTAATGATTTTTATCAATTCTACCGATTGTCTTGTCAATTGTTTAACAAAGAATAAATTTTCATCCCAAATTGGTTGTCTGAGAGGTTGTCTATCAATAGTCACTCGCAAAATTTGATAAAGAGTTACTCTATTGGTTTAATGAAAAATCTGTCGCTTCTTTCGCTTAATATTACTTTAATGATAGGAATAGAGCTCACATTTGAAACTGTTTTTATTAAATTTTAATTGAATGACAGATTTGAGTAAAGTTTAGAAATGGCGTTAATAAAGTGCGGATGTGGAAGTTTTTTCGTCCATTGTGAATGCCTTTTATGCCCTTTGCTCTGGAACTAAATTACTCCAGAAACACAGTAAGTGAAAACGACGTCGTCCGTCAATTGAAAAAAAGGTCAACAGGGTACCCAAGACTCTGGAGAAAGAGAGAGAACCAAAGAGAAAAAACGACGGAGGGAGAGAAGAAGACGGCCGGAAGGAGAACGACGGAGAGAGACGAAAGAAACGAACTCAAGGCGGAGAGACTCAGCGAAGAAGAAAGCTCTCTCCATTCAACTAGGTTTGGAGATTCTAACTAGGGTTAAGATTTGGGGATTTGAAAAAAAAAAAAGAGAAAAGTTTTTGATTTGGGGATTTCAATTGAAAGATTATTTGATTGACGATCTTAAAAATTATTTTTAGGTTTTGATTGTATATAAAAGAAACTATTTTGTTGAATCTAAAATTTTAGTGCCATTTCGGTTCTAGAAAAATGAAGCAGCTAATGCTAATTCCCAAACCACCCTTTAATATTATCGGTTGAAATTGTAGATGATTTTTGCGATCTTCCTTCTGGATAGAATGGCATAGACTGATTTAGTGGTCTCTGTGTTCTGTTTTAATCTTCAGTGTCCATACTTCTTCAGTTAGCCTACCGGGAAAAAGGCAAAAAATATAAACGCAAAGGATTGCATCTTTCTAGGAGTTTTTTTTTTTAAAATTTATTTTGCTTTATGGAGATTTTTTTATGTTATAGACTAATTTGCAGTGCAAGGTTAGGCTTCTTTATATGGTTGGGAATGTGCATTTCGTGGTGAAGTTTGCTCAATGAAATGGGAAGTTCAATAGTAGTATCATATCTCCCACTGTACTATTGTTGAATAGGAGTAGGAAAGAATTGAAATTAAGACAATAATATATATATATATATATATTTGATAAATTTTTATAAGAGCTGTTATAATGCTTCATGGTCTTAAGCTATTCAATATGGTCTATTTGATTGGTTAAAGTTTCGTTTGATATATATATATATATATATTTACATGTGATTCGTTCTAGATAGAGAGGGGTGACTTTTTGTTTGACCTTCATTTAGTCCTACTACCCCTTCATAATATATGTGAAAAATTGTTCGGTTATAATTTTATGAGTAAATAAAGTTAGATGTTTAACTATATACTAAAATACTGATGCAACACCAATATTTATATACATCATTATGATATGTTTTTTTTGGGAGTTTCTAACGTTTTTTATCCGAGAAACATACACACAATATTCTCAATTAAGTTTGATGTCACATATGAGTGTATTTCTTTCTAAGGGATCCAGAATGCTGTTTGATGTATTGACTCAGAATTTCTAATACTCTCAATTAAGTTTGATGTCACATATGAGGTTTTGTTAGGTTTTTGCAAACGTTGGAAAAGGAAGGGACGACTACTCTGGGCTCCATTTTGAAGGGAATTTTTTAATTAAAATATGCTTCATAGATATAGACTCATTCATTTGTGAAAAAATTGAACCAAGGATTATTGAAAGTCTATTAAACATGCATAGTGATTTGATGAATCTGTTTCTAATTTCTAATTTACCTGATTTGAATTGTCCTACTTTTAAGTGTAGTTTCATAGCTTCAAGTTTTGCCCTACTTCTATGTATTTCGTAGCTTCTAGTTGTAAGAGGCGCTAATTTAAGCCCACTAAATTATTTACTTCATAGATATAGACTCATTCATTTGTGAAAAAATTGAACCAAGGATTATTGAAAGTCTATTAAACATGCATAGTGATTTGATGAATCTGTTTCTAATTTCTAATTTACCTGATTTGAATTGTCCTACTTTTAAGTGTAGTTTCATAGCTTCAAGTTTTGCCCTACTTCTATGTATTTCGTAGCTTCTAGTTAATTTCCGTTTAATTCGTACTGTGTTCTTTGTATTATAGATGTAGATTTTTTGACCAAATTTTTAATTTGTTTTCAGTTCTTGTATTGAATTTCTTCATATATTATAAGTAAATTTTAGTGTATAAGTTTAGTTCAAGCAAATTTTGTTGCGTGGGTACTAGTAAATAAAAAATTTATGGGTATTTATAATGTAGCAATCAAACTTTTTTTGTGTGAATTAAGAGCTCACCTAGGGCCCCAAATAATTCAGGGCCGGCCCTGTTCACAAGTTCCTATAGCTCTGTTTAACAAAGTTCTCTTGCATTGCCAGTAAGTAGAAAATGAAGAAAGGAGTACACCCTCAGATGCAGTGGATATCCTATGTTACCCAGAGTGGCCGATTGATGCATGTTATGATGACCAAGATACACCAAGTTGGTAAAGTTTATCACTTCAGAGCAAGGCGGCAGATGGCTCAAAGTGTTGGGCAGATTGCCAAGTTTAAGCGGCGTTATGAACAGAAGGAAGAGGAAAATGAAGGAAAATAACTTCTTTTAAAATGGTTGGGGTGCACTGTTAGATTCCTTTACTTTCATATTTGGGATTAGCCATGAACTGCAATTATGAATAATTTTCCTTATTTCTATGTTTGATAATCTGCTGGGTACTTGGGAACACATCTGTTTATCTGTTTAATCAGTTGGTTGCTGGTGTATTTTCAAAAATATTTTTCATTTTGATGAATCAAGAGGGTACACTTGCAGTTGAATGATGATGATTACGCTTTGATTTGCTATGTTTAGTAGTTGGCTAAATGAAATTATTCAGTGCTACACTATAATACATGGACATGGACACGGGACACGACACGGACATGCAGATATGCAAATTTTCAAAAAATGGAGGATACAACACACTGGGGCACGTTTAATATATATAATCAATGTATTATGCAGTTCATGCCACTAATCAATCACCAGATCTTATGGCACCTTGTTGTCTCCCCATTCCCAGCTTACCATTTCTACTAATCACAATCTGCCTCGATGTCATCTGGTGATGCTCATAGGTATGAAATAGCTTTTTATTCTCCAAATATTTTGTATGGAGTGGTGCGATGTATAAGGGACAAATTAGAATGGTATAATTGCACCAAAAAATTTAAAAATACCATGGTTGAAGTCAGAAGGTACCCTTGACTAGTATGAGAGCTAATCCTCCTACAGGTTGAGAAATGAGAACTGAAGGTTCATAAATAAGAATTGAGTGGGTGTAGTAACAACAATTCCTACACAAAAGGAGACCCATGATCCTTGAGAAAATATTAGGTATAATGATAATATCACATTAACTGATGATAAAATTTAAGTTGTAATAATGGGAAATATATAATTGAATTAGTAAGTGTGGGTACCATAAATTTGAAATTTTCTATTGACAGAGGCATAAACCCGGGCAGAAGAGGTCCAAGAATCAAGAGCATAAAGTTAGTGGCCCAAGAAAGGAGACTGAGGATGTGACACATGGTAGCTTTAGGAAGAAGGAAAGCATAAGGCAGTTGCAAATCATGCGCATGTGTGGAAATCCAGCAAGTGGACACCTGGCAGCATAGCAGGCCTAATGATGCCATATATAAGCTGGAAATTTGAAGAAGAAAAGACTTTCAACCAAATTCACAATTCATGCCAAGTCTACGAGTAGTGTAACTTATCAAAAGAGTAGTTCTTGTACTTAGGAATAGCTTACCTGTAATTCAGTGTTTGTAACCCAGTTTGGCCTAGTCGATTGTAATGCTATTTGAACTTGTAATTTGATTCTTGTAATTAAGTGACAAGTTTAAGTGTTATTTAATCGAATTTCAGTTTGTTTGCACTTGTTTCTTCACATTACAACTTTCAAAAAAATCCTTGAATTTGTCAAAGCATAGGACACTAATCACATTACTTGATCAGTTTATTTGTTTGTGAAAATTGGTTTTTCTGTTGAATTACCTCTATCGATTCGACCCAAACCAAATTTTTTTAAATATATTTTGGCATGCTTAGTGGAACGGGTCGAATTTGGAGTGATGGCAAAGAAGGAGCAAACGGTTATACATGAAGATTCAGACTTGGGCCAACCTAGTGGCTCATTTATAAAAATAAAAAACGCTCTTCTTTTTCGAACAGAGCAATTATTGGAAAGCATGTTTCCACATGAAAAACAAGAATTGTTTGAAGAACTGAACGTCATATTAATTTCAAGTTGACTCACAAAATGCAAACTGTTATTCATGAAGAGCCAAGGTATGAAAATAATATGGCTCAAGGAATTAACACACCATGTCATAAAAATAACATGACTTTGGAGAGTTTTCATAAGCCATCAATGGCTAAAATTAAAAAACAGCCCATTTTCTTGAAAGATGTTAAAAATCCATTACAAAAAGATGGTGAAGATTTACTTGAGGGGCATAATTTTAAGCCAAAGATGGCTAAAATTATGAACGTGGGGGGGCATAATTTTAAGTCAAATATGGCTGAAAATTATAAACAAAAAAGACAAGAAAAAAAAATGATGAACAATCCCTTTTGACAAAAGACAATAACAATTATTTGAGAGAAAAACAAGTTTTTGAATCAAACATGACTAAAATTGATGAACAACCTAATGTTTATGAATTCAACATTTTTAATATTATTCAAAATGATGAAATATACGAGTTTTTAAAGCCAATTTATACTATTGCTTTTGTTATTCAAAATTTATGTTGGATTTGTGGGCTCACACCAAAATATAAATTTGATGGAGTGGCAATCAAAACAACAAAATTTAGACAGTATAACGATTGTTTTACATATATTTTTGAGTGAAAGAAAATTGGCCGAAAATTGGCTCTCTTTGTTTGTATCCTGTCAAATATCAGGCCAAGACAATAAGTGGCTTTGGAAAAATAATTAATTGTGTTCTCTTTTGAATTATTCATTGGTTTGAGTGAAAGAAAATTGACTGAAAATTTGCCGAAAATTGGCCCTCACCATATGCATTTTGTCGATTATCATGCTAAATATGAAGTAGCGCGCACACACAAAAAAAAAAAAAAAAAAATGGAAAAAGAAAAAGAACGGTTGTGTTCTATATGTTGGTTTAAAGGTATACTGTGTTCAAAAGTTCAGAAATGAGAGGATGCTAAAGATTAGTCGAAGAGTCAATGACTTCAAAATTGTTATTTAACTGTAAAAGCCATTTTCATTAATGTTGTATCTTAGACTAAAATGAGTGATTATCACTTATTTTAATATAACTCTTCAATAATTTGAGTGATCTCATTCTTAAAGAGTTGAAGGGTCTTGCTTGCATTATAAATTAGTTTTTATCGATTGTGACATGTCGATCATGACCAAAATAGTATATAAATATTAATAAATATGGATTGGTTGAGATTTTATCCATTATATCATTTAAGACAAAATTTACTTTTACTTTAAATAAGGGAGGCATTGTTGGCACCATAAATTTGAAATCTTTTGTCGATAGAGGCATGAACCTGTGCAGAAGAGATCCAAGAATCAATGGCATAAAGTTAGTGGCCCAAGAAAAGAGATTGAGGTGTGACACATGGCACCTTTAGGAAGAAGGAAAACTTAATGCAGTTGCAAATCATGGGTAAGTGTGGAAATCCAACAAATGGACATGTAGCAGCAAAGTAGGGCCAATGAAACCATATTAAAGTAAAAAATTCAAAGAAGAAAAGACATTCAACCAAATTCACAACTCATGTGAAACTTAGGAGTAGTGTAACTTATGTAGGAGTAGTTCTTGTACTTAGGAATAGTTTATTTGTAATTCAGTGTTTGTAACCCAATTTGGCCCTGTCGATTGTAATGCTATTATGCTATTTGAACTTGTAATTAAGTGACAAGTTTAACTGTTATTCAATCGAATTTCAGTTTGTTTGCACTTGTTTCTTCATATTACAACCTCCAAAGAAGTTCTTGAATATGTCAAAACATAGGACATCAACCATATTGCTTGATTAGTTTGTTTGCTTGTGAAAATTTCCTCTGTCAATTTAACCCAAATCAGATTTTTGCTAACAGTGAAAGATAGATATCCATATGAAAGATAATGGGCCTCAGGTCTATTGCACATAGAAAATGATGTAATCTTTTTTTTGTTCTTTCATTTTAAATTAAAATATCTATTATTATGATTTATAATTTTAAGAATGTTACTATTATATCATTCTTATTGTGTTTTATGTATAAAAATTATATTTGTGAAATAAGTAAATAATGCAAAAAAATATTTGTAGGAGGAAAAATTATTACATATTGAAAGCATACCATATGACACGATCACATGATATCTTTTATCATTTACAAATAAATATGCTGTTTTGTATCTTCGAAACATCCAATATAAATGTAATAAACTTCATCATCAAACCCACCGCGGCCTGAGAAAAAAATTATTATGGAACGTATACTCTCTCTACACCCAAAAATTTCTCATCTAAGAGGCCCTCAAAGCACAAAGCAATGAAAAAACTCTCCTATACATCACGTAAATTGCAATTACTCCACACTTTCACCACCCTCCTCAACACGAGTCCTCATAAGTAACCCCCCTATTGTAAGAAAAACATGATCATCCCCTTAAGCTCCTCCACACTCTAATACCCCTAAAAAAAAGAAAAATAAAAAAGGAAAGCACTTCTTCATCACCTATATATATCCATCAAAAGCTAAGTTTAATCTCATTTCAAACCATGCCATTACCAAAATCCCCAGCTCACCCATTCCTCATTCTACTTCCATTCCTATTCTTAGTGCAAGCCAAACCACCACCACCTACAAGTCTCCAACAAAATGCCACAAACAAACCACCATCAATGTCTCCTTCTTCTCCATGGCTCAATCGAGTGACCGATCCAAGAGCGCCGGGGTGTTGGAAACGACCATGGATTTGCGACCAGGAAGAGTACCCACCCCCAAAATTCAGAATGAAGTGTTGTCAAAATCGCTGCATCGATGTCACCTCCGATATCAATAACTGTGGATTGTGTGGGCTTCGATGCCCATTCACTTGGCAATGCTGTCGAGGATTGTGCATCAACACCAATATCAACCCTTTTCACTGTGGTAGGTGCGACCACCGATGCCCATTTCGGAGTCTCTGCTTCTCGGGCATGTGTGGGTATGCTGCCCTGCTGCCTCCCTTCCCGTTTCCACCAAAGCCTGAACCGCCTCAACGCCCTTTTCCTTTTCCCCCGAAGCCTGAACCGCCTCGACTCCCTTTTCCTCCGAAGCCTGAACCTCCTCTCCTTCCTTTCCCGCCGAAGCCTGAACCGCCTCACCACCCTTTTCCACCGAAGCCTGATCCACCTCACCCGCCTTACCTTCCTCCCGGTCAGACTGTGGAGGGTGGTGGTGGTAGTGGCCGGCCAAAGCTGTCGAGTTGAAGTCATGATTTTAAATAACAATATTCCAATATAATTATATATCATTTCATATTTGATATATCAATCGATCTATTAATGAATAATGGTATCAGAGAAAGATATAAATCCTGGCTGATATGATTATTATATATTATTTTCCTTTAAATTTTGCATGCATGTGTGGGTGTGTGAGTACATGTATGCGTCAATTTAAATTTATATATTGTTGTTATTTTTTTGTTCGGAGATGACATAAAATTGGGGTTGCTGTAATTCTATATTTTTGTAACGATCTTGTGGTTTAAAAAAGTCTATTTTCTTGGAATTTTTCACAAATTTGTTATTTTCATGTTTAGTAATTGTTTTCATATTTTTGTATCATTATGTATTCGTAACATGCATGAATGGTGGGGTGGTTAAAGGGTGATACGTAAATAAAAATTTAATATAATAGTAATATCATATTATCAGTAATATGATATTACAAATTGATAATAAACTTATACCGGAGAGATGAATCCCACTAATCATCTTATCATGCACATTGAAGAAAAACTAACAAACAACTATTAGATGGTGATATTATGTCATTGGTATCACTGTTATCTAGATTTTTTTTTATTTTTTTATTTTTTGTGATAAGGGGTTGGTGGAGAGTATGGTGTGGGTAGAAGAGGTAAAGAGTCCCTGAGGAGGGTGGTGGCAGGTGGTTGTTGGAGAGTGGTGGGGTGGAGAGAGGCTAGTTGAGGGTGGGCACTATAAGAAATTTTACTTTTGGCGACTAAAATTTTAGTTGCCAAAAACCTTATTTTAGTCGCCAATCACTTTTGCCGATTAATATATTTAGTCGTCCGTTTGGTCGCCAATAGATCGTCGGGGAAACAATCGTGGATATCACGATTGGCCGAGACAAAAAAGCTTTTGAATTCGGAGCCCCATCCGTGCAGGTCATCTTTGGGCCGAATAAGACTCCGGATTCGGAGCGCCCTTCGTGGATATCACGTTTGGCCAAGATAAAAAAGCCTCCGAATTCGAAGCCCCATCCGTGTAGGTCACGTTTGGGCCGAATAAGACTCCGGATTCGAAGCGCCCTTCGTGGATATCATATTTGGCCAAGATAAAAAAAGCCTCCGAATTCGGAGCCTCATTTGTGCATGTCACGTTTGGGCTGAATAAAACTCCGAATTCGGAGCCCCCATCCGCGCGGGACGTGCTTGGGCTGAATAATAATCCGGATTCGGCGTGCTTCTCATGAATATTACGATTAAAAAGCACGCGTTGTTGACAAAAGTTGAAACATGCAAGCATTTAAAATGATGTGTTTCATTACATTAACCGATTGGCTCAGAA